GTGAGGGAGCATGAAGGAATCACAGATGTGTGAGGGAGCATGAAGGAATCACAGACGTGTGAGGGAGCATGAAGGAATCACAGACGTGTGTGAGGAAGCATGAAGGAATCACAGACGTGTGAGGGAACATGAAGAAATCACAGACGTGTGAGGGAGCATGAAGAAACCACAGACGTGTGTGAGGGAGAATGAAGAAACCACAGACGTGTGTGAGGGAGAATTAAACCTGGCTCCCAGGTGCTTGTTTCCTTCGCACACGTTTCGGTGAGCTAGACACACATGAAGGCATCTTTTTGGTTTTTACTTTTACCCAAAATGTTGGGATCATACTCATTACTCAGTCTTCCATTGTTTTTTTTTTTTTTTTTAATAACTTTTTTCCCTCCAGGTCGATGCATAAGCCATGACTTCTATGTCTCAGGAGCATCAGCTATTTCATAATGGGGCTGTACCACAGTTTTTAACCATTCTCTTATTGGCGAACATTTGGATTTTCCCCATGATATGTTTTTTCAATGACAAACAATAATGCAATAAATACCACTTGTACACATATTCCTACATGCTGGTGCTTTCATTTCCACAGAAGAGAGTCTCAAAACTGGGGTTACTGGGCCCGAGAGCCTGTGTGTCCTTAGTTTGAGTAACTTTAGCTTGTTCGTCCTTGGGCAGTGCAGGGGCCCGTCTCCTGGCTCTGGGCTCCTCTCGGTCAGTTTCTGGTAAAAATCGCATTTTACTTTCTGAGCTTCTAGAAAAAGACACAAATGTGTATTGGCTGTTTGCGTCTCTGTGAATTACCTCTTCATATTCTTGAGCCATTTTTCTGTTGGATCATTTTGATTTTCCTTGTTGATTTTTAGGAGGTCTTTGTATATTGTTGGGTGTTAACCTTTGGTCTGTCACTTTTGCAAATACCAGGGGCACAGCTCTGTCAGACTAACCAGTCTATTAGACTGCGTTTCCATCTTGTCTACTTACACATGGATTCGAGATGTTTCCAGGAAGACACTTGTTTAAAAAGACTATTTACCTAGAAATAAAATGTCAAAACCCACTGGGAAGGGAAAGATGAGTATAACAAAACCCCTAGCTGATGGGACTGTCGTTGTTGAAAACAGATGCACTGTAGTTCAAGGCAGCAGGAGCCTCAGGCGCTGGGAGTCTGTCTCGTGGAAAAGCGTGGGAAGCTTCACAGGTGGGAGCACTGTCCTGGCGGAGGCGTGGGGTGAACTCTGCACAGTGGGTCCTCACACAGAGCTCGATGAGCAGCATCATGGTACCGTAGGAGCCTGTGGAGGGTGCATAGATGGCCCCTACGGGACCACGACTGAGCTTGTTAGAAGTCGTTAGACTCCCCTCAGGGACAAAGGGAGTTTGGCTTTAGCATAAGCCTCACGGTGACTGGATGTAGTGACGGGACCTGGGACCTCGTCTTCTGAACCGTAGTTTTCCCTCTGGAATCCTTGCCACCCTGGAGGCAGCCACCTGACACGGGTTGGTTGATGCAGGCTGTGAACATACGAGACAGTTCCACATGCTCTCTCCTTGGTTCTCAACGTTGTGCGTGATGCCAAGAGGGATTGCTTCTGTTTAAGACCTGCTGAGTGCCAGGATGTGTGAGTTTTTAAACGTGCCAGGTCTAACCTTCACCACACCCTGAGCAAAGTGCCGCAGGGACAGGCGCTCAGCCTGGGGAGGCAGACAGGCGCCCCAGCATGTGCACTGGCACAGAGGCCCGCAGCCTGAGGGCGAGGGGCCAGAAGTGCCCTTGATGGGGCGTTGGGTGTTTCTGGTGGGGCAGGAGCTGACTGGCAAGGCCCCGTCCTGCTGAGGAGGCTGAGCTCTGTGTGATGCCCAGAGGCAGCAGGGTCCTGGGGAGGAGTGCCCCGGGCTGTGAGACAGCTGTGGTGACGGCAGCATCCATGGTAGCTCTGTGGAGGGAAGTGCTCGAGGGTCGGCCACTGTGCCCTTGTGGCAGCCTTTGGCCACGAGCCTCTCGGTGGCTGCTCCACACCACCCCCTCTGCCTGGGGGGGCGTTCACTCACTCATACAGAGCCGTGGGTGTCGGCAGGCAGCCCGGCTCCCCCACCCCAACCCTGTGCATGCCACCTGCTGTCCTCGTGGTCCTGACGGCGCTATGTCATCTGGCAGAGCCGTGGGCATCTGCACCCCACTGACAGCCACGGGCCGACAGTGTGTCCTTCAGCCCTGTGCCTTTTCAGAGAGAGACGGTTTGCTCCTTTCAGCCCCATGCAGTAGCTGTGACTGTCGGCAGCCCTGTGCGCTGACCCTTGAGGATGTGAGCACTTGTCCAGGAAAGAGAGCGACTGTAATAGGGAACACGCTGCAGGTTCAGACGGAGAAAGTTCTAATTGTCTTTCATTTTATTTTTCTTTGAAGGTTGCTTTCTGCTCTTGGTATGAAATGTTGTTGTTGTTGTTGTTAGGTGCCAGTGAGTCAGTTCTGACTCATAGGGACCCTGTGCACAACAGAGTGAAACCCTGCCTGGTCCTGCGCCATCCTCACAGTTGTTGTTATGCTTGAGCCCATTGTTGGAGCCACTGTGTCAGTCCATCTCATTGAGGGTCTTCCTCTCTTTCGCCGACCCTCTCCTTTACCGAGCGTGATGTCCTTCTCCAGGGACTGGTCCCTCCTGACAGCATGTCCAAAGTATGTGAGATGTAGTCTCGCCATCCTTGCTTCTAAGGAGCCTTCTGGTTGTACTTCTTCCAAGACAGAATTGTTCGTTCTTTTGGCAGTCCATGGTATATTGACTATTCTTCATCAACACCATAATTCAAAGGGGTCAATTCTTCTTCGGTCTTCCTTATTCATTGTCCAGCTTTCACATGCATATGATGGGATTGAAAACACCATGGCTTGGGTCAGGCACGCCTTAGCCCTCAAGATGACAATCTTTGCTTTTCGACACTTTAAAGAGGTCTTTTGCAGCAGATTTGCCCAATGCAATGCGTCTTTTGATTTCCTGACTGCTGCTTCCATGGGTGTTGACTGTGAATCCAAGTAAAATGAAATCCTTTACAACCTCAATCTTTTCTCCGTTTATCATGATGTTGCTTACTGGTCCAGTTGTGAGGATTTTTGTTTTCTTTATGTTGAGGTGTATCCATACTGAAGGCTGTAGTCTCCGATCTTCATCAGAGTGCTTCAAGTCCTCTTCACTTTCAGCAAGCGACGTTGTGCTATCTGCATATCGCAGGTTGTTAATGAGTCTTCCTCCAACACAAGTTGTTCATGAGCCTTCCTCCAATCCTGATGCCCCGTTCTTCTTCATATAGTCCAGCTTCTCAGATTATTTGCTCAGCATACGGATTGAATAGGCATGGTGAAAGGATACAACCCTGACACACACCTTTCCTGACTTTAAACCACTCAGTATCCCCTTGTTCTGTTCAAACGACTGCCTCTTGATCCGTGTACAGATTCCTCATGAGCACAATTAAGTGCTCCAGAATTCCCATTCTCTGCAATGTTATCCATAATTTGTTATGATCCATACAGTCACAAATGCCTTAGTATAGTCAATATGTGTTTTATTGACTATGGTATGAAATACGGGGAATATTTTGCAATTCCTAAACTTTGTAAGCCCCAGTCAAATGGACCTCAAATCCCCCAAACAGCAGTGCCTCTACCTGAATTCTGAGAAGGGCCCCCGCCCGCCAGTCCTCACGCTGTGTCGTGCCCACAGCGGCTGTACGGCCTCTCACTTTATGTTCACCCACTGGGCATTCCACACGCGTGGACTGTGTGCCTGTGGCAGGCCAGGTGAGGTGTGCCGGCACAGCTCAGTGCACGCAGCAGGCAGTCCCTGTCCCTGTGGGGCATGCGTTCTAGGGGCGTAGGCAGCACGCAGATGGACAAATGTAGCGTGGCGCTGGCAGCAATGGGTGGTAGCAGGGCGGTCAGGGCTGACGTGGGTACAGGGAGGAGTGCAGAGAGGAGAAGGCCCCGAGGCGGTCAGCTCCAGTGCTCAGGGAAGAGTGAGAGGCTGGCGTGGCTGGAGCAGAGGGAGCAGGGAGGCAGTGGGGCGCAGTCATCCTGGCGACCCTGAACGGCCTGTCCCGAGGGCCGGAGAACATGTATTTCTCATAACTGCGGTCTCTGCCAATAGTAAAGTTCATGTAGAGCGCGTGGATTTCTCATCAGCACTCACGAAGGAGGCCCTGGCCTATGGCCGCTTTGCTGCTGAGGGAGCAGGCCCGAGAAGCTCAGCAGCTCGCCCACCACCACGTAGCATCCATGAAGAGCCCCAGTCGGGGCCCAGGCAGTGGCTGCAGACTGGATGACGGCGCATGCTCGGTGGCCCTCAGGTGGGAGGTGACAGCAGAGCAGGGAAGCTCCCCATGGCCTGTAGACCCTGGGCTGTGTCCCGAGTGTGATGTCAGGCACAGGGATGAAGACTGGGCCGATGGCAGGGGCCCTGTGGCTGGGCTCTGGGGAGGTGTCCATTCACATCCCGAGAGCTGGTGCAGGGGCCCGTGAGAGCTGAGGTCGTCGTCCGTCTGCTGGGCATCCTGGGAGTGGCCTTGTGGATTTGCCCAAGGCAGGTCAGGGCTCTGCCCTCTCTCACCTGGAGGCCATGAGCAGGCCACCTGGCCACGTCCACAGTGTTAGAGCCGGGGCTTGCCGCCTTCAAAGGGGGCGCTGTGTGGCTTAGGTATGGGAGGGGTCGTAGGTAGGAAAGCTCAGGGGGCCCAGCGCCCGGCCGGATGAGCCCGCCACAGCGCCCGCTCCAGTGCCCCAAGGGTAGCCCCAGCCGCTGACGGCTGCTTTCACCGCCGCCAGGGTATACACTTGAGCTCCCGCTCATTGCCAGGTGTGGAGGGACATGCAGGCTCACAGATCAGGCCCCATGCCTCAGGCCTGAACACTCAGCTGAGGGGGGCTCTTGGGCCTGTGGAGACCTGTGACATGTCTCCAACACAGCGAGGGCTGCATGGCGCTACACATGTTCCTGGATGGACTGAGGTGGTGTGGCCCTGCAGGCATCAGTGACCCCGTGGCTCTGTCGTGGGGGGAGCAAGGGCTGAGAACCACTTGTCAGATCTTGGGGTGTCCTGCCACTAAAGGTGGGTGTTCCAAGCTGAGCAGGCTGCTGGTGGACACCCAGGGGCCCCGCAGCTGAGCTCCAGGTCACTGTTTCGACTCCTGGGTTCCACGCCAGCTCCCAAGGGCCCCTTACTCATTCCTGCATGGCCAAGGGGCTTTGCTCCTGACCTTGTAGCGGAGCAGAGTGGGAAGCAGAGCAGGGGGTTCCCGGATCTGAGGAGACCTGCAGGCTCTTGCTGGTGGCGGTGATCCCTAGGCCTGTGCCGCCATTTCCACTGAGGATGGCGCTGCCCGGGGCCGTGGACCATCCTGCTGCGTGAGGGTGTTGCTCCACCGCAGCCCCTGCCCTGGGCAGGGGCCATCGTGGGCCAGGATGTGGGCATGCCTTAAAAGGCAGCAGGGTCCAGAGACAGGCCGGCACAGCTCGTGCACACTTGGGGTGGCCTGGACCCTGCTCCCCATCCCAGACCTGCTGTTTCCACCCCCACCCGGCTCACCCGCCTGAGCCTGCACACAGGCAGCGGGAGTGGGTAGACGAGCTCACGCCCCGCAAGGCTGTGACCCTCCCAGGCTCGCGAGGCTGCTCACAGTGGATCTGACTTCGGCGGGGTCTGTTTTCTTTAGCTGACTCATGCCCTGTTCCTTCCTCCTTCTCTCCCTGACCCTTGACTCCAGGAGGACTTCCGGAATAAAGTTGAAGACTACATTAAGCGTTACGCCAGATGATGCAAGGAGAGGCCTGCAGGACCAGGGATTGCGTGTTACTGTGTCTCTCACTTAACCAGCCAGAGCCAGCCCCTCCTTCCCCATCCTCACGTGCCCTCTCCGTCCCCCCGGGCCGTGCCAGCCCGTGACCATGTTGTACCGAAGAAGAAAAGCTTCGTAACTGCCCGTGTTAGACGGAGAATTCAACATAAATACAGCAAGAAAATGTGTTTTGGGTTCTAAAGAGTTGTCTGCTTACCTTAACATGTTCACTGTGTTTGAAACTGTACTGTATTGGCTGTTGATGGAATTCTTGCGAAGTTGTAATGAACTCAAAATCGAGGCTAGAGCTTGCTTACCCCTTTCCAAACAAATCCATTTCCTGTACAAGTGACGCTAATGACGTATGCAGTGTAACCCGCAGATTGACAGTAAGAAACTCAATGCAAACTGTGCTCGGATGCAAATTCTCTTAGCTCCCTCCGGAATGCGGCCCCGCCCTCTGCGAGTGCGGCTCTGCCCACCGCGAATGCGGCCCCGCCCAGACGTCCCGAAGCCCCCCAGAATGCCTAGAATCATTCACTGTCTACCTTGCTGAGATGCGTATTTTATTTAAGTATATTTTGGAACAGATTTGTAATTTGTACAGTTTAATGCTTTAATTATTTTTTTCTATCCTCATTTAGTTTGTATTTTCATTGTATAGAGCAGACAGAAAGATGTTGTGTCAAGCAAATATTGAAGAGAAATACAAAGAAAATACGTGAGACACGATTCATTCTGTCCACACGCAGTGAGAATCTGGCTCTAAAAATCATGAGTTCTTGCTTTTAGGACCAGGTGTGGTAGAAGGTTTCAGAGCCTT